TGACCGAAGTCTAACATAATTACTTTTAAAGTTTTGCTAGCCAACCTCAACTCCTTTCTGGAAGGTAATGGGGAATGAATGCATGCAGCATTATCCTCAGCATCTTTCCCTCTTCCTTTCCTAACTGCTCCTCCAGTCCCATCGTTGTCATCACCATCATCCTCTTGGCCTCTTTACCACCAGAGGTTTAGTATTTGCCAGGAGTCCTGATGGTTATCACAGTGAGACCTCTTACAGAATATTGACAGCTAAGCCAGAAGCCGAAAATGGGATCCCGAGACACGCAGAGTGACATAAACACACTTTTAAAACCAGGCTTTCACAAAAGAGCAGTTTCTTCATTAAAAGTAATCAGTGTAAGCCCAGGTTTCAAGCCCGAAATGCATTGGGGGCGTGCAGGAGGCAGCCCATCGATGTTCTCTCTCATCCATGTCTCTCTCTCTCTTCGTCTCTCTCTAAAATCAGTCAAGAACCATTATTAAAAGAATAATAATAATAATCAGGGTAATAACGTACTTTAAGATAGGTGTCATCTCAATTTTATACTTAATTTGTAACCGGGAGAAAATCATGATGCATACTTGAACTTTAATAATAGTATCGGCTGCTATTGTTATTATTATTCTTTGGTCCAGTTTGGACTACATGTCAATTTCTGGAGTTCTCATTTCCCTCTTAGCTCTCCCCAAATAACTGCCTAGCTTGCTGCCTCACCCACACTTGTGTCTTCAGTTCTTACTTCTCTGGTTATTAGAACAAACAAGAGTGCCCCCTGTTGCCTTATGCTTGAAAGCTGGAGTGTGGGGAAGAGTCTGGAGGAGTCTAGATCCCTTGCTTTCCTCAAAACATCACATGGATTATTAATGAAGATATTTATCTTATGTTTATTTTTTTCTTTTGTCTTAAGTTACTATAGAATGAGATGTTCTGAGCACTTTTCAGAGGGCTCTTAATCTCATGTTATCAATGAGCAAACTGAGTCTTGGAGAGGCTAGTAATTTGCTCATGGACAGCTAACTTGGGACAGAGTTGAAATCTTAACCCAGGAGAATTTAACTCCCAGACCCATAAATATTCTGCCTTCAGTGTTACTTTATTTTCTTACTACATGAAAATGAAATATCAAGTTTAGTTTATGTAGTTCCTTATGTATTTCATATGCTACCATATCAAATCCATGAAATTTACAGATGATTTTGGTCTAATTTGGATCAGAATTCCAAACATATACAAGGGTGGGCACGAGTGGGTTTGCAGCTGTGAGCATGAGAAGCACAGTTTATTATAATAATCATAACCTGCATGTCTTTTTCCATACGAACAACTGTAAACCTACTTATGCTCACGCCTGTACTGAGAAGAACAAGAACTACTTTGTCTTTTAAAACAGATGACATTTAACATTTTCATTGTTATTAATGTGGCATTTTCATCCTTTAGCCTTTATCTTTGATAAAGTGTGTTCACAGGTATTTTCATTTGACCCGGACCGTTTAGTGTGACAGGTGGTAGAGCAGGTGCGTGATGCCTTCTGACCCTTCTGCGGCTGGAGTGGCCTCCAGGGAATGAGGTCAAGGGGAAATGCAATGCTTTCTAATGCCGGCTGCAGTTTTTCAGCCCTTTGTGTGTCAGATTTCAGGAATGCTGTTTTACTCCAGTGTCATTTTTTATGCACTGCTGTCCCTGTTGTGCCCTTTCTGCCACCATGAAGGATTCGGAACTGCTTCCGTCACCCAGCGACACCAGCACACAGCATTGCGTGACTGCTGCTCCTGAGAAGATGCACGACATCCTTCTCCCCCGTTCTTGGCCACGGAGGATGAAGTGATGAGAAACATAGCTTTTTCTCAACGAGGGAATCTCTGGAGTTAATTGTATACCTTCCCAGAGCTATTTCTTGTCTTCACAATGATTAACACATTACGTCCCATTACTAGCTCGAGTGAGTCATAACAGTAGATCTTTGATTATGTAATAATCAGAGTTTTTCCGTAGAGAATCTGTCGGTTCTCATGTTAGATCGTCATCGTGTTTGTACATTTAAACATTTTAAAAAGTATAAAACGACAAATCTGTTTGTAATTGTGCTAATCTGTAAACACTTCCTTAGAATACAATTATTGTTTCGGTGTAGTTTTTCTTTTAGGTGTTTGCAGCCAGTGGAAATTTCTTTTCTGAGAACCAGAGAGCCTATTTTATCATATATCTCTTTTATCCTATGTATTTTTTAATAAAAATTTGAAGTAACAGTAGGTAAGAATAATAGACAGAAACTTAGTCAAATGATTCCAGCTACTCTGCATTCCCATGGAGGGGTGGTGGGTACTATTCTAATTGCTCTATAAACCCTCATTGCCATATTCATTGATTGACATATCGGAGTCACTGCCCTTCAATGTAACTTCAGAAATAAGGGCTTCTGTTTGAATGAATTTCACCCCCATACTTGATTATTAAGAGCCCATACTAGGATGAGCCCGTGAATTGCACAAACAGGCTTGGCATTCTGCAAGGTTCATTATAGGCTCTTCCTCCTCTGCCCGTTGACACTGCTAATTTATTGGGTTTGGAGGACATGCCCTTTGAGAATGTGTGAGTCCATTACAATAGGGGATTTGAATAAAATTTCATTACTCTTCATCATATATGACTCTGCTTATTTCCTTCATTGCAGTTATCATCTAAAGCACTTTTTAAAAAGGTGTTGATTTTGTATTTTCTTCTTGGTTATAAGCTCCAAATACAGCCTGTGTGTTTCTTTCACCACTGTATCTCCATTGCTCAGGACAGTGTCTGGCTCACCTTGGTCGTCAGTAAATATTTAGTCAGTGAGCAAATAAATATTGTATACCTACTGGATTTTATACCAGGAATTAAACGAATGAATAAGGTTATAAATATAAGTAGGATATTGAGTTGCCCCTGCCCTCAAGGTGTTTACTCTGAAAATAAAATAAGGATAAGATTGTGATATACTTTGTGAAGGGCAGTGTTAATCCTTACCAGAGGATATTTTTCCATTGATTTTAAGAGAGAATGGAAGGGCAGGAGAAAGAAAGAGAGAGACATTCATGTGAGAGAGACACATTGATTGGTTGCCTCCCTCACAACCTTAACCAGGGCTGGGGAGCAAACCTGCAAACCAAGTTCGTGCCCTTGACTGGGAATTGAACCTGTGACCCTTTGGTCCACGGGCTGATGCTCTAACTGCTGAACCAAACTAGCTAGGGCAATAAACTGTTTGCATGAGGGGCTGGGGACGCGGAGGAAGAGGAGTTTTGCTGGACGCGTTGGTCCTGTTTGCATGTGAGCACAGACTTTGAACAAACCCCCTTTCTCATACTCCTAGAGCCTAGGTGGAGATCCCAGTGGTAAAAAAAAGGAGCAATAAAAGTGCAAAGAGAGCTCACATTTTTGGAGTGTTTACCACGTACCAGGTGGGATTTTAGGAGTCTTACATGCCACATTGCAACTAAATCTTCATAACATTCACAATAGGATTGTCATTGTCCCCTTTATACAAATCCAGGGAAGTCCAAGAGGCTAAGTGGCCAGTGCAGCTCAGGGATAGGATTTGGTCCTGTCCTACACCCCGGTACCTACCCTCGTTATTTCACCCCATGTTCCAGGGTTGGCATCTGGTGGGTTTCCCCAGGCCTGTCTTTGTGGTGTGGACTCTGGGTGGGGTAGACTGAACTTTCTCCAAAGCCACCCCAGCCCTCATAATCACAGATCCTGGGAAGAGGATCCTGGGAAGAATGGGTTAGAAAGCTCACCTGGAACCTCCTGCAGTGATCAAAGACGTTTGCAAACAGCCCTGGCTTTTGGGCTCAGCTTTGGGGCCTCACACCTTTGATGCTTCCGTCTCCATGAGAGAAAAAGCCAGCTTCCGAACCCTCTGATCGCACCCCGGAAGGCTTTTGTTGTTCCGTCTGCGTAGATCTGCCCCTCGTGAACGTGCTGCTCACTGCCAGCCCCTCCACGCCAGTATGTCTCATTAGCCCTGCACGTTCAGTGCAGTCCTGACACGGACGGACATGTCAGCCTCAGCAGCCGTCAGTGGATCGCACCCGCATTGCTGACAGAGGCTCCATCTGTAAGTTATGAATGGAGCTAATAAAAATAATTCATTAGGCCCTGGCTGGTGGGCTAAGTGGTTAGAGCATTGGCCTGAGCATTGAAGGGTCTCGGGTTCGATTCCCAGTCAAGGGCACATACCTGGGTTGCAGGTTTAATGCCCACCCCAGTTGGGGTGTGTGCGGAAGCAACCAACTGATGTCTCTCTCTCTCTTTTCTTCCCCCTTCCTCCCTCCCTTCCACTCTCTCTAAAAAATCAATGGAAGAAATATCCTCAGGTGAGGATTAACAACAACAAAAACAGAATCCATGAACTCAGTAAATAACAAAACAAGCAGTGCAAACGTGAGCACCTCTTCCGACCCACTTATTTCATGGCATTGGGTCTTACAGCAGTTACTGAGTTGGGGGGACAAGTCCATTCCATGTAGAGGGAGCTGTGTGTGCACAGACACACACAGGGACCCTACGTGGGTGGGGACTTCCTGTGGTTGCACACACCTTGAGTTTGCACATGACCAGGTACTAGAGAGCTAGGCAGTCGATATTTCTTAATCATAATACTAAGTGAATGCTTGCACATGAAAAAGTGTTCATAAATGGTTTTCCAGACGAAGAGTTTAGATCGTTTTATCTGTGGGATCACGTGATGTCTTTTGCCCCCTCTCAATTTGAGTACCGCATGTCAGTCTTTGCCCCAAAAGTTTGATGGGTCCTTAAGTACACTGTTTTGACGAAATGCTACCGAACGGTCCTCATGGAATGTGCAGTTCCTATCTGAAGAGGTTCGAGTGGGGAACAAGTCCAGGGCCTGCTGAGTTGTCACTGGAACACGTGGACTGCAGGCCCATCTCGGTGTCTCTGCGGATGTTGGTGTAACGCAGCCTGCTTAGCTGTCTCTCTCTCTCCTGCCCGCCGGCCAGCTGGGGGACGTGATGGTGGACATCGCGAGCAACATCATGCTGGCGGACGAGCGGGTCCTGTGGCTGGCGCAGCGGGAAGCGAAGGCCTGCAGTCGGATGGTCCAGTGCCTGCAGCGGATCGCTACGTACCGGCTGGCAAACGGAGCTCACGTCTATTCTACCGTAAGCGCAAAGTTCTTCTAGAGTTCTCACCAAACGGTCCTATGCTTGGAAGAAAATTTTCCAAGGGGTCTTGGTCCGAATGGGGTACTTAGAATTGTGCCTGCCTATGGAGTGGGCATGCACTTAACCGTCCGTAAACACGGGAGCGATGCTGTGTGGTCCTCAGACTCCAGTGCTCTGTCGTCTTCCTGCACGTGGAAGACCGGTCACCTGGGGCGCCCCCTCTGGGCGGTTCTGAGGGGTGGGAGTGATGCGTGCCCTTCAGACGTGGGGTACAGGGGGTGGTATCGATATGTCTGCACTTGGCAGACCCTCGAGTTCATCTTACTCTTGAATGCCTTAAACTTGTTGGGCTGGTGCCATCTTTTTCGGGTGATTTTTCTGGCTTAATTTGAAGATCTGTTCATCTACTCCCATTTAGACTACCAACTCCTTTACTTTTCTTTTTTCTTTATTTTTTTAATTGAATTTATTGGAGTGACATTAATTAATAAAATTATGTAGGTTTCAGGTGTACAATTCTATAACACACCATCTCCATATTGTGTTGTGTGTTCACCGCTCCAAATCAAGTCTCCTTCCATCACCATGTATCCCCCCTTTATCCTCTTCTAGCTCCCCAACCCCTTCCCTCTGGTGATCATCACACTGCTGACCTTGTCTATGAGGTTCTGTTGTTTTTTTGCACAAAATCCAGTTACCTTTTCACCCAGCCCCCAACCCCTCTCCCCTCTGGTAGCTGTCAGTCTTGTTCTCAGAATCAATGAGTCTGTTTCTGTTTTATTAGTTAGTTTATTTTGCTCATTAGATTCCACCTAGAAGTGAAGTCATATGGTACTCACCTTTCTCTAACTGGCTTATTTCATTTAGCATAATACTCTCCAGGTCCATCCATGCTGTCACAAAAAAAAAAAGTAAGATTTTTCTTATTTTTTATGGCCTGGTGGTATTTCCCTGTATAAAGGTACCATGACTTCTTTATTTACTTATCTCCTGATGGACCCTTGGCTGCTTCCAAATCTTGGCTGTTGTAAATAACTGCACAAACATAGGGATGCATATATTCTTTCAAATTAATGTTTTAGATTTTTTCGGATATATTCCCAGAAGTGGAATTGCTGAGTCATAAAGCAGTTTCATTTTCAATTTTTTTGACATTACTCCATACTGGTTTCCACAGTGGCTGCTCCAATCTGCATTCCCACCAACAGTGCGTGAGGGTTCCCATTTCTCCACATTCTCACCAGCACTTGTTTGTTGAATTTTTGATGATAGCCATTCTGATAGGTGTGAGGTGCCATCTCATTGTGGTTTTAATTTGCCTTTCTCTGATGATTAGTGACATTGAGTATCTTTTAGTATGTTTGTTGGCCATCTGTATGTCCTCTTGGAGAAGTGTTTGTTTAGGTCCTTTGCCCATTATTATTATTTTTTTTAAATAGGATTGTTTGATGTTTTGGTGTTGCGTTTTATAAGTTCTTTTAAATTCTGTATATTATCCCCTTATCAGTATATCATTGTCAAATATGTTCTCCCATTCAGTGGGTTGCCTTTTCATTTTGTTGGTAGTTTCCTTTGCTGTGCAAGAACTTTTTAGTTTGATATAGTCCTGTTTGTTTATTTTTTTTCTTGTGTTTCCTTACCTGAGGAGATACATCAGAAAAATACTGCTATAAGAAATGTTTGAGATTTTACTGCCTTTGTTTTTCTTCTAGGATTTTATGGTTTCAGGTCTAACATTTAAGTCTTTAATCTGTTTTGAGTTATTTTTGTGTATGTGTAAGAAGGTGGTATTTCATTTTCTTGCACCTATCTATCAAATTTTCCAAGTGTCATTTATTGAATAGATTATCTTTACCCCATTGTATATTCTTGCCTCCTTTGTCAAATAGTAATTGACCATGAAGGTGTGGGTTTATTTCTGGGCTCTCTGTTCCATCCATTTATATATCTGTTTTATGCCAGTACCATGCTGTTTTGATTACTGTGGCCTTGTAGTATAGTTTGATATTAGGTAGCATGATTCCTCCAACTTTGTTCTTCTTTCTCAAGATTGCTGTAGCTATTCTAGGTCTTTTGTGGTTTCGTATACATTTTTGGAATATTTGTTCTAGTTCTGTGAATTACACCATTTTTATCTTGATAAGAATTGTGTTAAATCTATAGAGTGCTTTGGGTAATGTGGACATTTTAATGATCTTCATTCTTCCTATTCACGAACACAGAATATGCTTCCACTTATTTGTATCTTCTTAAATTTATTTTTCAGTGTTTTATACTTTTCCAAATTCATGCCTTTTAGGTCCTTGGTTAAATTTATTTCTAAGTATTTTATTATTATTTTTTTTATGCAATTGTAAATGGAATTGTTTTCTTGGTTTCCCTTTCTGACAGTTTATTATTGGTGTATAAAAATGCAACTAATTTCTGGATATTTATTTTGTATCCTGCTACTTTGCTGAATTCACTTGTCAGTTCTAATAGCTTTTTTGGTGGAATTGTAGGGTGCTCTATATACAGTGTAATGACAGACGCACCTTGAAAGTGAGTGTGTGTGAAATTCTTATCTGTGCACCTTAATGCAAGGAGTTAACTAGATCCCCCTGTAAAAGAAAAAAGTGAGTATGGCATGAAGTGCAGAACAAGGCAACTTTTAAACATATCTCCCAAACCCCTGTTGCTCTTCCTGCACTGAGATCATTAACAGGGTCCACTGATATCTCGAGCTGATGTTTTTTATAAGACACGTCCATTCTTAGCTTACAGTTTTCTGCAAAGTGTTCTTTAAATTATTTTTAATTTACTTTGGATTTATGTCCGATTCTCCACACTTCGTGATTTGTACTTTTCCTCTTCATTGGTATCTTTTTGCTTTGGCTTTTGTTTCCAGTGCCTTTTTTTTTTTTTTTTGCGAGTATCTGTCCAATTCTGCCATCTAGCTACATAGTGTCTGTATTTCGTAAGAACCTGAGTGTCCCCTTTCAATTTATACACCATGCTTTGTGTTTGAAAATTCTTTGAAAGTGCTTTTTATTCCCATGTGGTAAATCTCTTATAACTCCTGTTTGGTTGACTTTTGAAGTATTCACCCAATATTGCTCTGGAAGCTTATGTAATCAAGGCTACCGGCTTCACTGGGATGACATGTACCGTGTTCCAGAAAGTGGCAGCTTCTGACCGAACAGGCCTCTCTGACTACGGCAGGCGCGACCTGGATGGGAACCTGGATAAGCAGCTGAGCTTTAAGTGCAATGTGTCAAATACGTTTTCAAGTCTGGCGCTAAAGGTATGTTACGGTCTGCGGTCGTTTAAGACGCTGTACAGTTAGATTGGAATACTCAAAATGTTTGGCTTTACAAGATAACCTTGTACAAAGTTATTGTTGTTTTAAAATAAATTTGGACCAAGAAGGGACCTGGGATGACTTTCATGGGCCCAGACATTTTCACCCTTTGAACTCCTTTCTCCACACACACAAAAATACCAAAGTTATATTTTACAACGGCAGTGGTATAAAGGTGAATATATTAATATTACATATTAAAACATTCTCTTCGACCTTAAGTTTTATTTTTATTGCTCTTTATTTTAAAGATGTGAAAGGTTGTGTGCCTTTGGCTTTGTGCCCACGGGACCTAGTGGGAAATTGGCCTGGCGTTGGGGCAGTCAATCGGGCAACCTGTATGCCACGATTTTTGGCAAAGAAATCCAACGTGATAGGACTTCAGAAAGATGTGTGTGTTATTGCAGTGAGCAAAATCAAAAGCATTTCTATTGATTTTTAAAATGTGGGGTTTAGACATGTTTGATGAAATTACAAATAGTGTGGGATAACTCCAGCCCCTAATGAGACCACAGTTTTTCATTTAGCTTGGTGTGGTCGTGTGTAACTGTGTTCTCTGTGGGTTTTAATTACCGTGTGCTTTCTTTGGCTTGTTTCTGAAGTATGTCACTAACACTGCTGCAGTCACTTAAATCGCTGCATAATTGATCAAATAGGTGTTAGGTGTTGATGCCCTGTGGGAAATAGTGAATGAATGAGTGAATGAATGAAAGGACGGAGAGTTGATGTCGTTTGTCACCCCTGACCCTGGGGACCACCAGAAGAAAGCCAGTTTGCTAAACCCAGGAAGATCCCATTTCTCCCACAACCCGAGACAATCTCAGCAAGGTCGGGATGTTTAATGAGCATGTATTTACTTGGTACCATCTACTCAGAGGGAAATCATGAAGATGCATTTGTTCTTCTGGGCTCTGTGAGAGTACTCAGTGTACCCAGCCATGCTACTGCGGACCTGCCTCTTTCCTTATTGCATTTTTTATTGGCAAAATATACCACAGAAGGAACAGAAACAGCATCACGCACAAGCCCCTGAGAGAAAGGTGTGTGTTTTGGAGGAGCACTTAACAGTGGATGAATCCTTCTATCTTGGGGGATGGTCGTAGGTAGAACAGGAATAAAAATGATGAAACCCTGTACATGTTATCAATTTCACAACTTACCCCTCTGGGTAAGAAAAGATTCTACTTGCTAAAGTGGAAGGCTTTATGTGGACACTCAGATTTGTCAATTTCACACCATTCTATCCTTTTAAGATCGTCTTGTGGCCAGAAACCAAGGACACAATCACACTGTTATTCATGCTTCATACGTGGACGTGATTACACTGCGTCAAAGAGGAATGCTTCCTTCACGACACACAACTAGTTAAATATCTTAGTGTCGACAGCTCAGAGTGTTTTAGCACTTTAACAGAAAACTTTATATTGTATTTTATTTTTTAAAATATATTTTTATTGATTTTTTTTTTTTAGAGAGAGAGAGGAAGGGAGAGAGAGAGAGAAACATCAATGTGAGAGAGAAATATCAATCAGCTGCCTCCTGCACGCCCCCTACTGGTGATCAAGCCCGCAACCTGGAAATGTGCCCTGAGCAGGAATTGAACCTGGTCCTCTCAGTCCATGGGACAGACGCTCAATCCACAGAACCACACCCGCTGGGTGAAAACTTATTTTAAATTTTATACCAGGACAGCCCTGGCCAGTTTGGCTCAGTGGTTGTAGCATTGGCCTGCAGACCAGAGAGTCCCAAGTTTGGTTCCCACTAGGGGCATGTACCAAACTAATAATAATAATAGTGATGATAATAATAATAAAATAAATAAATACATAAATTTTATACCAGGACAGTTTATACTTTTGTGCAGGTTCTTTTTTTCAGTCCTTACCAGGGACATTTTTCCATTTTTTGTTCAGACAGAGTGGGAGGGAGAGAGAGAGAGAAACATTGACATGAAAGGGACACATCAAGTGGCTGCCACCCACACAACCAGCCAGGGCTGGGGACAAACTGCAATGAGGTACGTGCCCTTAGCGGGAACCGAACCCGGGTCTCTCTGGACCGCAGGCTGACGCTCTAACCGCTGAGCCAAACCGGCCAGGGCCTTTTTTTTTTTTTTTAATGCCTCAAATATGGCACTAGACAACTCAAACATCCAGTAATTGATTATATTACCCTTCAGTGGGAAGATATGCTCGTGTATGAAGTTGCACCCCAAAACACACAGTCCTTAGCAATACAGAAGCCTTGCTTGATTGCTTTGATGCTTCTTGAATCTCTGTCCTGTGTTGACTTACCATTGCAACCTGGTTTGGATGGACTGCTATCCTATGTTGCCCAAACAATTGTGACCTATTTAGTTAGTCTCTTTGTCTCCAGGCTGTTCCTTTAAAATTCATCCTTCTCATATAGATTAGTTTACGTAGGGCTGTCCTTTGGCCAACAAGTACCAATACAAATACAACCAGGCCAGGTAGCAAAATACTGAAATAGCTTCTTACCTTTAGCAAATAGCTACAATCGCTGTCCCCTGAGTGCCTCCTCAGTCTTGCTGGTCCTTCTGAGACACCACCTGGATCTGTTTCGTACAGCATCTCGGAGGCTCCCCTCTGCAGACGGAGGTTGTCCTGACGGTCAGTGTGTGCATCATTTCAGGTGCTCATATTGGGATCATTACCCTAGATCCACCCAACATGGACATTGACCTTGTACCTCCCGCGGCAGATATTTCCTGTCTGTCTGGAGACTGGCTTTCGGTGGCTTCAGCGTTTGGTATCTATCCTTCGCTGCCTCCTCATTAACAGTGCAGCACGCTGCCCTTGGTTTCTCTCCCAACCACTGGCCATTCTTAGGCCAGGCTCGTGCCAATTCTTCTCCCAGCATTTCCCCCTCTCCTTCCCTTCCGGCCCCTTGATTGTGTTTTAATACCCAGTAGAAATGTCACCTTCAAGAAGTCTTAGCTAATCCCATCCTGACTGTCCTCACCTCTCCCATCCATATCTCCTTTCTGTCTCTGCTTCACTTTGCCCCTAACACTCTGCTCATCTCTGCCATTGCCTGTTGGACACGAGAACCCATGGGTCCGAACCTCCCACACCGGACCGAGGACTGTCCGAGGGTGGAGCTGGAGCCTGGCCTCACTTGTCATCTGACCCTGAGAGCAGCAAATCTGATCGTGTTTATAACCAAAGGCTTTCTTCCACTGTTGGCACCCTAGCTCAGATATGTTAGCATCACAAAGTATTACCTGTTTTCGATGAACTACTAAAGGTTCTTAGAAATGTTTAGTGTTTTGAGTTCAGCTATATTGTAGCCAGAAAGAAATGGTTCTTTAAGCCTTTCTTGGCTGGACTTTAGAAATCAGGTTTTCTCCCTGTATCTCCTGTTTCCTTCCTCTCAGACATCTAGGGCTTTAGCCCAGCTGAAGTCCTTGTACGTTCCCAGACCAGCTCTGGGTGTCCTCGAGCTTCCTGTCTTGATTTCTCCCCTTTTCGTGCCCTCCGCACCACCTCCACGGGTGGAATTCTTGCTGCTTTCCCAGTAAGGCCCCATGCGCACGGCACCGTCCTTTCTCAGAGTGCATTGTGCGCGTCAGTCCACGGCACTCTGTTCTTTCGCCAGCAGAAGGAGAAGCTGATGAGAGGTGAGCTGTGTTATAAGGAGAGAGCCCATAGGGCAGGGTGACTAAGAATATGGTCTTCCTGCAGCCAGACGCCTAGCCTCACATTCCGCTCCCCCAGTTAATGGCTGTGCAAACTGGGGCGAGCATTTAACCTCCCTGATGTCAGTTCCTCATCTGTTACACAGGACTCGTGAAACGGTACTTAACTCAAAGGGTTATTGAGAGGATTAAATGAAGCAAATGTGTAGACATTTAAAATAGTGCCTGGCACAGAGAGAGCCACATAATAAATGTTAGCTCTTATTATTATTGTTGTATTATTATTGTGGTCTGGCTCTTGTTAAATTATGGATATTTGAGGGCAGGAACCATGGCTCATTTCATTGTGTTTCTCTAGATTCTGCAAAGTGCCAAGCACAGAGGCATGAAACATTCACTAAATGTTGTTGAATAAAAATTAACGGCCATATTTAATTAGCAAAGAAAGTCAGTTAAAATATTAATTCTAAAGGCAAACATAATTCCTGGTAACTTTCGCAGTGACATAATCAAAAGGTGGTGTGCAATTTATAACTAATTATTCACAAGAAAACAATTAGGGTGTCTCATATCTGTGTTAAAAATCGGGTGTGTAGATAGTCAAGAAAACATGGAGAAATTCATATTTTATTCTGTTAAATCAGGGGGCTCTCGGACTCTCTGTTAGTGTTAGGTTTCTATAGACTTTCAGTTTAGGGTTTTAGGAAAATTTAATATATTAATTATGTGGCAGTGGAACTCCAGATTGTTTTGTAAGGAATGATGTTAAAATCTAGAGGTATTGGAGTTAACATCACTTAGAGTACTTAACATGCTCTTCTCACCTTAATGTCATTTTAAATAGAGAAATATATGTGAATTTAACAGCTTAGCAAATTAATTCATTTTCAGAGTTCTGTATAATACTGATTTCATGTGTGTTCACACTTTGTTGATTTTCTGTATTGACATGAACACTAGAATTGTAGAAGTAACAACAGGATGAGGTTCTAGGTGATTGTGGGAGGTCAGGTACTTCCTCTTCTCTCTCCCCAGCCTCCAGAGTAGAAGTAACAACAGGATGAGGTTCTAGGTGATTGTGGGAGGTCAGGTACTTCCTCTTCTCTCTCCCCAGCCTCCAGAGTAGAAGTAACAACAGGATGAGGTTCTAGGTGATTGTGGGAGGTCAGGTACTTCCTCTTCTCTCTCCCCAGCCTCCAGAGTAGAAGTAACAACAGGATGAGGTTCTAGGTGATTGTGGGAGGTCAGGTACTTCCTCTTCTCTCTCCCCAGCCTCCAGAGTAGAAGTAACAACAGGATGAGGTTCTAGGTGATTGTGGGAGGTCAGGTACTTCCTCTTCTCTCTCCCCAGCCTCCAGAGTAGAAGTAACAACAGGACGGGGTTCTAGGTGATTGTGGGAGGTCAGGTACTTCCTCTTCTCTCTCCCCAACCTCCAGATGAGCGCTCGCCACACTGCGGCAGTCATAATAATAAAAATACCACCCACAGTTCTGTAGCCTTTTGTTTTGTCATGGTCATGATCCCATTTGGTCCTCACATCCATTTGTTGGAAAGGTCACTCACTGTGTTTGGCAGATGAGCCTCAGAGAGGGCAACAAAGCTGCTGAGTGGTGAAGCTGGGGCCCGAGCCCTGGTCTCTCGTTTCAAGTCCCATGCTCGTTAACCCCTGGGTGGCGGGTGAGCTTCCGATAATAAATATTAGACACCAGAAACATGTACTTCCCAAAGGACTTGAAGAGAGATTTCCCTCATTTATTAGCTATAATTCATCCATTTCCCTTGCTGTAATCCATACTTTTAAAAATAAATACATGTTTAAATGAAATTACAAACTCTGTGGTCCCTAACTTCAGGCCATGTGGCAAATGGTATAATTAGGATAAATGTTAAAAATGAAGTGTCTCGGTGATTTTGAACCTTTTCATACTAAATGATCAACACTTCTTTCGAAAAATTAAATGTACAGATATTATATTTTTACTATAAAACGCTAAACATCATTGATACAGCTGAGTTTGCTTTGTCAGCACCGCTAGGCTACCCTCTCTCCGTCACAAGGAACCGGTAATTATGATTTACTAATGGTCTTCAGTGAACTCTGAAGGATAGTTTAGAAGCCATAAGTATGGATCAGCCTCATTTCTCATTGACCTGTCTATACACCTGGGTTTTTTAAAATTGTTTGGTTGGCTTTACAAGTTTAACATGTGAAGAAAATGTTTTTGAAGTTCTAGATACCATTTCATTTTTCAGCTCTCTTTGAGAAAATATTACTATGATTAAAAAACAAAAAAAAGGTTTATCCTAAGAAATACTTTTGCAGAGAGCTATGCTTGGTTTTTCAAGTCATTTTTTGTATTTATTGATTGATTCTTTAGAGAGAGAAAAAGAGAGAGGCAAAGAGAGAAAGAATGAGAGAAAGAGAGAGAAACACCGACTTGTTGTTCCACTTATTAATGCATTCTCTGTATGTGCCCTGACCAGAGATTGAACTCAAAACCCTGACGTGTCTGGGCAGTGCTAACCAACAGAGCTACCTGGCCAGGGCTTAAGTAATTTTTAGTTAAGAATTTCGTACTATTTAAGTTTTAATGAATATCTGGTATGTAACATTCTTTCAAGAAACCTTTTAATCAATCTGTTGTTTTTCCTTTTTAAAAAAAAAATTTATTTCATTTTTCCATCACCATTTATCCCCTCTATATGTTTTTCCTTTTTTTAATGCCTTATATGCTTAAAAGAAATTTATACACTTAATAGAAATGTACCAGATTAGTGAATGAGTTTGTAATACACTTTGTTTCCTCACCAGATTATATTTGTGAGACTAGAAGAAACTGTCTTATATATTCTCTTTAGTGAAGTATTTCTAATATTTTCTTGGCATCTTCAGTTTAAAAATAAGACTCAAGCTGGCAGTATTCAAACTTCCAAATACTTCCATTAACAGATGTTTGGGGGACGCTGCAGTGTCCCAGCATTGTTCTAAGCCGAGCAGTCAGAGACTAATTAATTCTAAAAATTGTCCACTTGCTTAAGTAGAACCTTTATTTTAAATAAACGTGTCACACGGACTTTTATTCACCTTATAGACAATGGGCTACTTTGATCAACTGTGACTGCCAGGAGCCATTATTAACACCAGGAGGGGTTTAGAAAAATAAGTGAGGTTGTCTGTACTTAAAATTGCTCCTGCTCTAGTTGGAGGAGCAGACAGAGAGCCACTGGTGATACTGCAAATATTAGTTATGCTAGAGATTGTGCAGAATAGTGCGTGAGCCCAGAAGAGGGAGCAACTAAAAGCAACATAGTGAGGACTCAGATAATTAATCATCTTTAAAGGGGGAGGGGGTCAATTTAAAGGACTTTGTAGTGTCTTTCTCTTGGCTGCCAAACTTTCTCATCCTGACCTGTCCTTTACTTGCCAACAGAATTATCTTGCAAAACATCAAATCTGCCTTGTTTGAGTTTGCCAGACAGAACAGGGGAGGTTTTCCGCCGGGCACACCGGCCTGTGTGCTGCTGTTCACAGTGGCATCGAGAGCAGAGGAGAGCAGAGACATTCATTGTGCTCAGACTGTAGGTTGTGCTATGGGGAGTGTTAAAAGCGGAATTTGAGTCTGGCCGGTGTGGCTCAGTGGTTGAGCATCGACCCAGGCACCAAGAGGTTGCCCATTTGATGCCTGGTCAGGGCACATGCCCAGGTTGTGGGCCCAATCCCCAGTGGGGAGCATGCCAGAGGCGGCCAATCAGTGTTCTCTCTCATCATTGTTTCTCTCTCTTTCTCTCTCTCCCTCTCACTTCCTCTCTCAGTAAAATCAATAAAGGAAAAAAGAGAATGAATGAATGAATAAATAAAAGGTGAATTTGTGACATAGCTTTTAGCCATATGACATGGTGTATGTAGGATTTGGGGGCAGTATTCTCTAATCATTTGAGAACCAAGGTGTTATTTAAACTGAACTATCACACCCAGTTAGTATGGCTCAGTGGTTGAGCATCCCCCATGGACCAAGAGATTACTGGTTTGATTCCTGGTCAGGGCACATGCCCAGGTTGCAGGCTCGATCCCCAGTGGGGGGCATGCAGTCAATCGTCGATGTGTCTCTCTCATCGATGTTTCTATCTCTGTCTCCCGCTCCCTTCCTCTCTCTCTCTCAAAATCAATAAAAAAATATTTTAAATAAATAAATAAACTGAACTATCACGATCAGATTCATTTCTTAAGAGGAAATTCCATTGGCAACATGAACATTGGATTGGAGAGAGAGGGCTTGGTTGGTGCCAATGGAAAGACTGTGGTACATTCTTAAAATAGGGATGTTTGTTTTAGGTAGTTAATTATTTGCCTCCTGGGTTTATAGGTTTATTTTTTATTGAATGCTGAATAATTTATATGCTTAAAATTCCTAATAAAGAAGCTTGAAAAACATTCAGTGATCAGCCAGCATCTTCTGTTGTTCCTGTTTCTTACTATGTTTTTCTAAACATAATGTGTTTCTTAGTCTCAGGGAAACTTCCAGAAGAAAAATTTGCTGAATCTAAGCTTCTATTATGTTTGTATAATTTCTTTCTTTTGCTGTTTGACAGTTTGAATCTATCATAAATAACCTTAAAGTTCCATAAACCCAAGTGAATTATACTCACATTTGTGATATGCAACATTTGTACTTATTTACCAAATTTTGTCATCATAAAATTGATATAAAGAGTGATCAGAGATTCCCGATCTGTTAAATGCTATCTACTTCAGCAGAATTATCCTGGGAAAATTCACTCTGGTTTGAAATTATTTCTTTTTTACTTCTTTAACTTTGAAATTGAGTTGCATTTCTCTTTATGTTATAGTTCTTTGCTTCTATGCTGTTATGTGGTGTTCAGACATTTCACTTAACTGATAAATTGTTTCAACCATCATATTTGCATGTACACATTTTTAAAAGTGTTCAGCATATAGTTAGGAAACATTTGTAACTATGCAAGATATTCTTTCTGGTTTCTGCATACTAATACAGCATCCTTTTGTTTGTTTTTTATATATTTTCAGAATACTATTGTAGAAGCTTCTATTCAGCTTCCGCCATCCCTTTTCTCACCAAAGCAAAAAAGAGAAGTCAGACCCACCGATGACTCTCTCTACAAGCTTCAGCTCATCGCTTTCCGCAACGGAAAGCTGTTTCCAGCCACGGGGAATTCGACACATTTGGCCGATGATGGGAAGCGGCGGACAGTGGTCACCCCCGTGATTCTCACCAAAATAGGTTGGTATGCGGCAGATGCCATCCTGTGTCACCGGGCAGCGCGACTTCATTGTTCAGCGTTCCTTAGGATGCGTACTGTTGTTCCTCCTCGTTCTAATGAGTCACCAGTGAAGGCAGATACTGCTCAGTGCCCATTTGGGTATCGGCTGGCATGTAATTGTTCACGGAGTTTGTTTCAGAAATGCTTTTATTCCCCCCTTTCTCCAGATGGCGTGAACGTCGCCAGCCACCGCGTCCCCGTTAATGTGACGCTGCGTCGCATCGCGCACGGAGCAGATGCCGTGGCCGCGCAGTGGGATTTCGACCTGCTGAACGGACAAGGCGGCTGGAGGTCCGACGGGTGCCGCATCCTCCACTCGGATGAAAATATCACCACCATTCAGTGCGCCTCCCTCAGCAACTATGCGGTTCTGATGGTATGGCAGCTGTTCACTGTGTGCATAAACACGAAGTCATCTCTCTCTCTTTTTTTTTTTTTTTTCTTATGCATAAACTCAAACGAAGATTAAAAAAAAAAAAAAAAAAAGAAAACCCAACTTTTAACATAAATGGCTCCCTGTAAATAAGAAGTGATGTTCGGTGTAATTCTGATTTCAAAAGGAAATCGAGTTTCTGCCGAGTGAAATGTGTGGGGACTGAATTTGGTATAGAAATTTTCAGTCGACTTTGTAAGTGAGCCAGCTCACCTCGACTTTGACTTTAAAATTTGGAGACGTCCTGGGGTGTATACAGTCCAGCTCTCAACCCAGTAAATGGAGATAAACTGAGTAGTGAGAGGTTTTTCATCTCCTTTTGAGTTTGGAGGAATGGTGAGCGTTTGGGTGTTGCCACCACAGCGACAGTTTCAGCACAAATCATGTCTTTTCGGTCTTAATGCTAATCAGGCTGTTTTGTGTTTATCATTATTCATCTTTGGTAAAGTAGCTAGTTATTAATGTACAGGGGCAGGTCTTTTCATGAATGGGTTATTTATGTGAATCTGGTCCCTGAGCTAATAATTATGAAATTAATCCTGCTAATTTTTATTTTATTTTACAGTCATTATAAGATACATCCTGCAGTGTCTATACATGTATTTAGGGTATAGTGGAAGGGATGACTAATGAATCTGAAAGACATTTCTCAGAAATAGCTGGAGGCTAGCCTGGGAGTGAGGACACCTACGTTTTATTTCTGTCTCCAACTCTGAATCCGTTATCTAGACAATATTTCATGAAAGCCTTAACTAATCTTGAAATATGATACATTTTGCTTTTTTCTGATTCTTTTTTTGAAAAAAGTTAAAGAGCCTTTACTACCAGAAATGATCTTAAGACAGGCTTGAATTAGAATAGATTTTCCTCTCTTTGCTGCTCAACTTAGTACACCTTACCTGGCATACCTGTCAAGCAGGAAGAGTGAATAGATAATTTAGCAGGGTATAAGGCTCGTCTCTTCAGTGACGTCCATTAACATATGTTATTCACCGCAGGGGACAGTGGAAGAGTCTTCTATACTATTTAGACTCAGCTGTGTTTATATAAGTCGTTTATCCTTTGGGGTTTCAAGTTTGTGTTCATAATTTAGGAATCTCCTCCCAAATAGAAGATGTTGGATTTCTATAAGTGTGAGTCTGGTATCTGTAAGTTCACTTTTTATAAAGTTGTAGTAACCTTCCAAATTAAAGCATGAACCATTAATTAAAGTATGAAGCATTTTCTCTTTCAGTTTGAAAGTATCTTCTCATTCAGATTTTGATTACGAAATAACCACAAACTACGTAGTACTGAAGGAGAAATAATAGAGATACAGCATTGTCTGAAATGTACATAATAGTTAAGTAGAAAAAGTTGGGAAAAATAAATCAAACACAAAACACACACACACACACACACGGAGGCATTTTATACATTTCACTGGTAATGACATGATACAGTACCGTGTGAAACTTATTTTTATTTAATCTAATACCAGTTTAAAGCATCTATTTTTGAACTTCCTGGCTGTTCTTCTAAACTATTTAAATTAGTATAATCCCTTTCCAGGAGAAATAAGCTATTCTTTTATCTTTCATACTTTAATCTTGTAAAAACTGCAATACACAATTCTTTAAAGCTAAAATATAGTACTAAGATTTTGTTCTATTCATTTTCAAAGAATATCCATTTTTTTTTTTTTCCTTTGCTTAAATATAACTGTGCCACCTAGAGGCTGCAATGTAAAATGTATCTAAATTTGTTGACAAAATTATAATAAAATTAGTATGTGGGATTGTTTGAGTTGCTAATTAAACACTAAAAGCAGTTAAATTTAATCATACCTACTATCAAATAATGTCTAAACTAGAAGAAATGTCTTTACAAATTGGAAGTTTGCCCTGGCCAGGTGGTTCAGTTGCTTGGAGCGTCATCCTGTACACCAAAAGGTTGAGTTCAGTTCCCTGTCAGTGCACACACCTAGGTTGGGCCATGTATAGGAGGCAACCAGTTGATGTTTCTCTCTCACATTCATCTCTAAAAAATCAATAAACATATCCTCAGGTGAGGATTTAAAAAAATATATGGAAGTCAACATTTTTTTCCCTCACCTGACACTAAATTGAATAATAGATAAAATCTTATTTTTTTCTTGAAAAATATCTTGAAATATGGTTTTGTATAGCAAGTCTAAATTTCTGTTTTTTGTAGGTAGCCCATAAATCTTGTCCTGACTTTAAAGAATATTGTAATTAGAAAAATGAGACAAAAAAGAATGTTCGTTTGTAAATCTCAAGCAGATACCATTAGTGGGTCCAGTAGACAGCCTTCCATAACCTGTGATAACCTGAGGTCTCTGTGAGAGCAGAAAACATCCAGCAGGAATTGAGTCTGTTTGAACGCGATGATCAGAGAGAGCCAGTTGGGTCAAGAAGAATTCTAGGAGCTGGGCCAGCAGGAAACAACAAAAGAAAAAACGTGAATAGCACGTAGGGGATGATGAGGGTCAAAGCATATGTGCTTCGTACTTCAGTTGATAACAGTAGTGAAGGTGAAATAGTTTCTGTACCTTGAATCCCCTTTGTTGTTGTATTCACCTAGAAATATGTGAAACTGGAGAGCACTCACTTGATTTTACATCTCTCTAGTGTTGCTTTTAAATACTGTTTGTATAAACTTGCTGATGAAAGCAAACTTTGGTTTCACTGGCTCTATAGTTGAACCCGAGTGCCAGCCATGTTTCTGTTTACATCATTTTAAAATAGGTACTGCATTGGCATAGATCAACGTTTTAATTATTTCCACACATTAATGTGCAGTGAAATCTTGACTCCCACCTGCCTCCCCTCGCATTCTCCACAAACTAGGTAACCAGTAATTTTAGTTTCTTGAATATTGTTGAAGAGATTTTCAGGCATATTGAAACAAAACGAATACATTTTCTTTGATTTATACAGGAAGGTTGCATGCTACAAATCTCATTTTAAACCATGCTTTTTTTTTTTTTGGCCATGAAACGACATTTTACAATGATGATAGTTTCGATGGAAAAATAGATTATATGATGATGAGATCTAATGATGATATGATAGTGGTGATGGTGACGACAGTGACTAATTTTCATTAAGTGCTTATATGCAAGGCACTGTTCTGAAGTCTACAAAAGGCATTAACTTATTTGGTCCTTATAACCACCCCTTGAACACTAGTACTATTATCTTAACCCCCAGTCTACAGATTGGGGATCTGAGGCATAGAGAGCTTAAGCCCCATGCCCCAGCTTACAAAATTTAGTTAGTGCTGGAATTGAGATTTGAATTCGGACTTCAGAAGTTGGTGTTCTTAATCACTTCCCCATGTCTCCTTTCTAAAATCTTTCATATCAATATGAAAGAGCTCCCCCATTCTTTTTCACCTTTGACTATTATTTTATGTCCTTACCATAATTTAGATTTTCCTCTATTTTGGTTTTTTCCAGTAATGTGTTTACACAGTATTATTTTGCACATTTACTAAAAAAAATCTGCAAGATTAGTTCCTCAAGTGGAATTGGTAATCAAAGGGGGACCACCGCTTTTTCCATGTTTTTGTTAAATTGAGATATTGAACAGAGTGCACAGATCTTAAATGTATGGCTTGCTGATATTTTTACATTGAAAACATATTTAGCTACCGTCAAAGTCAGGATTCTTACTTGAGGACTTGGTAGCTCCCATGTTCCTAGTTAATTCCATTCATCATCTAGAGATACGCATCTTTCTGATGACTACCACGATAGGTAAGTTTTGCCTTATATAATTAGCATCATACAGTATATACATTTCTGTGTGTGGTGTCTTTCCCATGACTTATATCTGTGAAATTTATCTTTGTTTTTGCATATAGCAGCATTCCTACATAGTAACCCACTGGATAAAAATACCCAAACTTGTGCATTCTAGTGTTGATGGACATTTGGTCTGTTGCTAGGTTCTGCCTATTAAGAAAATGTTGCCATGATTATTCATGTACATGTTTTTTGATGGAATGAAATAGCTGGATTGAAGGCTACCCCTGTCTTTATCTTTAGTAGATAATGACATGCAGTTGACCAAAGTGGTTGTGTTGGTTTACGGTCTCACCCGTAATGAGAGTTTTGAGTTACTTGGCAAGGATGTGAAGTCTTTAATTTCCATCTTTGGTGGTGGTATTATGATATATCATTGTGGTTTTCATTTGCCTTCCTCCGGTGACTAATGATGTTGAGCACCTCCTCATTTTCTTGTCAGATCGGGTATCCCTTTTAGTCATGTTCTTGCTCACGTCTTGCCCTTTTTTAAAATTATCTTTGACCTTTTTTTCTTTTAGTTTTATGCGATGTGATCGACAGCACTGTGTAAGCAGAAAGACTTGACTTACATATTTTGTGAAATGATTACCATAGTAAATTTAGGTAACATCCATGTTCTCGTATGGATTAAAAAAAAAAACTAACTTTTTTTCTTGCAATGAGAAGTTTTAGAAGTTGCTCTCTTGGCAACTATCAAATATACCACACAGCACTGTTAACTGTATTCATCATGTCTCACATTTCATCCCCAGTATTTACTTGATTTGTAACTGGAAATTTGGACCCTATGCCCATCTTGATCCAAATGATCCAATTCCCCATCCCCCCACACCCCCACCCCCCACACCCCGACCTGGCCTCCATTCTCTTTTTCTAGGAGTTGTGTGGTGTGTTTTTTTTAATTCCACATATAAATCTTTGCCTGTTTTTAATGTGGCTGTCTATTGTTTTCTTATTGATTTATGGGGGTTCTTGATATGAATTGTAAACAGGTGCTTTTGGTTGGATTTATATGTTGCAAATACCTTCTCTCAGGCCATGTCTGTCTTAATCCATTCGGGCTTCTGTAACAGCATTCCACAGATCGGGTCGTTTATAAACAACAGGTTTATTTCTCAAAGCTCTGGAGGCTGGAAGTCCAACATCAGGTTCAGTGTTCGGTGAGGGCCCACTTTTTGTCCTCACGTGGTAGAAGTGACAGGAGGCTCTCTGGGGTCTCTCTCATGTGGACAGTAACCCCATTGGTGACCTCCCAAAGGTCCTGCCTCCTAATACCATCACATTGAGAGTCCCATTTCAACATACATGAATGAGGGCCACAACCACTTAGCATATTGATATTTCTTTGTCATTTTATGTTTAATTTTTCTGAAGTTTTTTCTGTTTTGTTTTTATAATTATTGTCTTTTATGTTCTATCTAAGAAATCTTTGCCTGTGTCATGATCATAACGATATTCTTTGTTTTCTTTAAGCAGCTTTAATGTGTTTTATCTTTTACATTTAGGTTCATGACCCGGCTGGAAGTGACTGTGTATGGCATGATGTAGGGGGAGCAAAATCTTTAAATTATTCCTTGTTTCTTAGGGGACATATAAAAAGCAACATAGTGGTCATCGCCTTTTTTTTTTTTTTTTACATTTTTGATTTCCGATCTATTTTTTTTATATATTTTAAAATTTATCTTTACTGTTGAAAGTATTAATTTTATTTTATTGGTAAAATTTTAAAAAATTATTCTTTGTATTCAGACAGATGGTACCCTACTATATATATTTTTTACTTTCATTGTTCAGATCCTGGTGAAATTAGAGAATTACTGCTTTATAATTATCCTTGTTATTGATATGATGCTAGTGAACTCTTTAAAACCGCCAGCGATTTTATCTATAATAATTCTTGGGCTAAAAGTAACTTTCTCTTCTTTCATTTATTTGGGTCCTTAGTAATAATCATCTTTGTGACTGTTAACACACACGTATTCTACTGCTTAGCGTATGGGGACAACTTTACTTTTCACTTCCTGGCTCAGTATGTTCTTGGACTTTGTACCCTGTAGACCAGTGACTGAGATCACCGTTTCCTTTGGTGACTGGTGGTTGTCCTTAAACCCTGGAGGCAGAGACTTCCCTGTCTTATCACCGCATTGCAACTGTGAATGAGGCTCCCTTTTCCTTCTCATGGGTGCCTCCTAGTGGCCATTTCTGGACAGTGTATTTAGTAATGTTTTGGTTACAGTATCACGGAGCCTGTCTTTGTTTGCTAGTAAAATTAAAAATGATTTTGATTCCGATTTCTACCTGACCTCTCTTGTTTGAGATCTTTGACATCTTCCCTGTACTAATCTCCTTGACCGTCCTAAATAGACGTTTATTCTCAAGAATGTTGTGCCATCAAGATAGGTTTTTTTAATAGCTTATTTGTTCTCTCTATACCTGGGGCGTGTAAACCCCACAGACATTTGATCCTCAGGCCCAGTTCAGTTAGTTGCTGTTTATTTTCAATGCTAAGAATGATCTGGAAATTTGTTAGTGGCTAGTGGCTTTAAGTACTTACATAACAGCCTCGGTTCGCCTCTTGGCGTGCAAAGCCCAGAACATTCACTGCCCAGCCTTTGTACCTCCCCCTGGGTCGGTCTCTGCATGGGGTTCTCTTGTGTGTGTGTAGGTCGGTCTGCTCTGGCCTCCAGGAATGCCCCGTTTAAGGAGTGGCCCCTGTGACCAGTGACGTCGTCACTTTTCTCCAGCCGTAACATTGAATCAGGAGTCGCTGTCCTCTGTTTCAAAATCCGGTTTCTTTCTCGTACTGTGTCACATTCATGTGGCTTTTGAAAAACACTAATTTTTTTTTTTTTTCAATGTAAATATTACATACCATCTATAGCATATCTTGGGAACCGAACCGGCGCTCTGTCTGATGTCCTGTCAGATAATACCCAGCTGCCTGCGTTGTGTTACACTCTGCCGAGGACTGTGGAAGACGTTCCTCCTCCGCCCTCACCCCAACCCTGCCAGGCACTGGAGGTGTCTCCAGTTCTGACTGCCCCACAATTGTATAGCAAACGAGAAAGTGGCGACGTGTTACTGAACAACAGTTCCTAGAGGACTGTAAGCAGCTAGTGCCTGGAAGGAGCTTGGAGGCCAAATCCTCGATCCTGAAAGTGTATCCCGTCATTCATTCTGCGCTGGCATTGTTGCCTCTCGTAGGAATTGAGGGGGAATGTCCACTCTTCCTGCAATCCTGCCTGGTTCTCCTTGCCCCAGTGTGGTTTTGAACTTCCCGCTAACCATCTGGACTGTTAGCCGAGGCCACTACATTAGGCCACGGACCACAGGTGAATCTCTGGGCAGCTCGCCGGCCGATTGTTCCGAATGCCCGGTGCTGGGCTTTTTCTCCCATATATTCCTGTCCAGGTACTTAGTTTACAGACTGTCAGCCCTCGGGGACTGGAACTACATTCTGTGTTTCCCTGGGTATCCTGTGCTTGGCATAGCGCCTGGCCATGGTGGGCACTCAGTTACCATTTGTCAAGTAAATAGACAAGCTACAGGTTTTAGACTCGTCACAGTGCAGTCGGGCTGGGATTCCATGTTCCTGGCTGTATCTTCTGTCTCCCGTTAACTGGGATTTGGGTCAGGCTCCCTGGGTCACTGTTCATCATTCATGACAGCGAGGAGCTTGTTGATTTGACCAGTTCAGATCTATAATCGTGTATCATCAGCTCCCGATTCTTGCGTGGGAAAACGTGCCCCTTTCTTTCCTCCCCCGTGGAGGCCACCTTTGGTTTTCCTGTCTGCCATCTGCTCCCTTCCCTTCTTCAGCTAGCGGTTCCCTTTCAGACATTATCTCGGCTCTCAGGCGTTAGAGACGCGTTAGTCGTGGCATCTGGCGAGTCCGCAGTGTTCTGACTCGGCGGCTGTGGCCGGGGTGGAGGCCGCCTCTCAGCCTGCGTTGGGCCTTTGTAAGGAAGGACGCCTTCAGGGGCCCACTGTCGTTTCAGGAGGTGCTTTGTGTTGGGGAGCACAGACGCGGCAGCCACCGCCTCTGCATCGAATCCTCAAACACTTAGCCCCGTTGTGTCACAGTTTTTCAGGCTATCAGGGGGGCTAATCCTATGTCTGGCTCCTAGGGTTACCCCGTATGAAGTGCTGGCATGGTGCCTGGGTTTCCGTGACTGCTATGGAAGTGACTTGCTATTATCGATTACTCCTACTGATTTTGAGCCCTTCACCCCCAGAACCTTGTTGCCTTACCTCTGTCAGGCATTGCTGTGATCTGCTTGTGCACCTGTCTTCCTGTGACTGTCAGCTCTGCACAGTCGGGAACCACATCCTACCATGATGTCCCCAGTGCCTTGCACCGTGTGTGGTCCATGCGTATTGGTTGAACTTGACTACAGGCCGTTAGCGAGATCCGGTTAGCTTTGTTGACTGAGGGCTACTGTACTGCTGACTTCTGCCGCATCGGCTGGTGAACACGCAGCGTGATGAGTGGGAAGAAAGAGCGTTGAGAAGGGTGAAGTCTGTGGTCGGCCCCTCTAGGTCACCCACATGTGGGCTCAATGCTCTCCCCACTGGCCTCCGCACTGTCAGTGTTCAGATGTATCGAGCAGAGGTAGGACAAGAGTAGTATAGTGTAGACAAGAGTCAGTGCACACACACACACACTCACCCCCATAAGTATGTATACTATTAGTAATTAACACTGTGGAAGTTAGGAAGGCAAAGTAAGGTGCGAGGAAAATAGCACAACACATTAGTCCTTAAATAAAAGGAAGAACCAGAAGGACCTGAGTTGTGTTTATCAGTGTGTTTTCACTGGAGAACATCTCAGTGGTTACATGTCCAGGCAAGTGCGGCGACAATGATGCTTTCTTTTCCCCCCAGGATTTGACGGGATCTGACCTCTACACCCAGGCCGCCAGCCTCCTGCACCCCGTGGTGTACACCACGGCCGTCATTCTTCTCATGTGCCTCCTCGCGGTGATGGTCAGCTACATATACCATCACAGGTAAGGAGTCAAGCTTCACAAGTATCGGACTTGGTTTGGAGGAGTTGATTTCACACATAATTAGGGTATCGCCCAGTTTTATGCCATCTTTCTAAAGTCAGAACGGTTACTTAGAGTGCATACAAGCTTTGTGCATTTCATGCATTTCTGGACATAAATAATTAGCACACGAGATGGTCAGTTCATCTTTTATAGCATCCAGTCAGTCTTCTGGGTTTGTGTCAGGGAGAGAAGGTGGGGGTCTGTGTTGGAGGCTGGGAGGAGGGGCAGGGCAGCAACCAGCAGGCGAGGTCGGGTGGGGGCTTGTGACCCAGAGAGGTGTCTTCCAGAGTCAGATCGTGGACAGAATTCTGGTTTATGATTTTTTCCCCCTGCTGTGATATTCTTTATGTTGCAGATGGCATTTTTAAGAAGGTCTGTGGCATTTCAGCATGGGATATGGTTTTTGTTAATTGGAGGCAGAGCTACAGAAACTTCTATTTTATGGCAGGAAATAGTGAATTGGAGGGATTTGTTAAGCAGAAACTCACTTTGTCAGAGGTTTTGGTAGAATGTATTTTCCTATTCTAGCTGGACCTCTGTAGCATTTCTTGACATTTAGTTAAGAAACAAAAGGAGATTCTGAAACTAAAATAAAAAAGAAAGAAAGAAAGACTTCAACATTTCATTAGGAAAGGCCAGGAAGACCTGCACTGGGCAGTCTCAGGTTAGGAGACAGACTGGCCACTGGCAGAGACCTCGAGGCAGCAGACAGGTCACTACCCTGTCAGAAGACGTCGGAACTGACCAAAGTCCACATGTCTTTCATTACGGAGAATTTCTTGAGCCTGTGGTGGGGGCCGTGGTTCCCGGTGGGACGTGTCTTGTTTAGTATGCCGAGTTAAATGTTAAGAAACAGGACTGAGTTAAATGAGTTCTCAACATGTGTGTGTCTGTCTTTCTGTCTGATAGTCTGGGCTTTTAAAGTGAAATGTTTAAGCATTTCAGTGTGGTGTTTTAGGCTATTGGAGTTGATAACTTGAAGGCCAGTACTGTGGTGCCTGCTTCACATCTGCTCGGCTGAGTTTTCCTGCTTTCTTGTGCTTTCAGTGCGATCAGAATCAGCCTCAAGGGCTGGCACATGCTCGTGAACCTGTGCTGCCACATCTTCCTGACCTGTGTGGTCTTCGTGGGAGGAATAACCCAGACCAGGAACGCCAGCGTTTGCCAAGCAGTAAGTGCGAGGGGAAACTGCAATGGACAAAGACGTGCTGTTATTGGAAAGTAGTGTCTTACGTTTCATTAGCTGTAAAAGGAAACATGACCCCTTCAAGTTGTTTTCTTGAACTAACTGAAGTTGAACTGAAGTCTGTCACCTAAACAGTTTGCTGGTGTCCTGTAGGTTTTGAATTGTTATTTCATAACGGAGCATAGGACTTGAGCTCGTCTCTTTATCGTTGGGAATTCAGAGCTACTTGTTAAGTCTGTTATAATGCTGAGCATTTAATTTACTGTTTTCCCACATCCTGACTTTGGCTGAGGGAGAAGCAACATACGAGGCACATTTGGGGTGCCTGCAAGACGGCTTGGTTACCCTCCACACCACCTAGCAGGTGCCAAAGAATTACATAGAGCAGAGCAGGATGGATGGGGGTGCTGGGGTGTGACTGGTCCCCAGATGGGAAAACGCCTTACATGCTTGACCTGGTCAGGACAATGGCCTACTCCAGGAACCAACATGCCACGGGACATGGGACAGGTCCTGGTTTGTGTCAGAAGGAAAGCATCCAGTAATGAGCCGACAGTCTCCGCGGGAGTTACAGGAAGCATCTCCATTCTGGCCCTGGTCTGGCTCATGGGTCCAGCAGCAGTCACATCTGGACCAGTCTCTCCTCCACAAGTGGCTTTAAGATGCATATACAAGTACAGGACCAAAGATAGCCAGGGCACCTCTGAAGAGTGGGCAGTTGTCCGTCTAGCCATCAGGGCTAATTAGGCTGTTGTAATGAAAACTGGAGCACTTGGTGTAGGGATCATAGATTGACCAGTGCAATGGAAGAGAGGTCAGAAGCAGACCTGTGTGGGACTTTGGCAGAAGACAGGCTGTGTGCCTCATCAGCTGGTAAGGAGAGACCACTGTACAGTAAAGGGAGCTGGGGAAAGTCCGTTTAGAAAAAGATGAACACAGATCTATACCTCGTGCCATATATACATATACACACACACACACATACATATATGCATATACACACATACACACACAGATGTATATATGTTTTTTTAAGGCAACTCTCAGTGGATTAAGAAACTTACATGCTCATACCAAAATGTTAAAATTTGTATTAGATGATAATCAGTTTGAGGGCTAAGGAGGGATTTCTTAAATATGACACTAATAAGGCATGACTAGAAAAGAGATACCTTTCACTAAATTAAAAATTAAGAACTTTTTTTTTGTTAAGCTTCCTTAACAGAAGTGAAAATATAAGATGATGTACTCAATCCATACCTCCGACAACAATAGAATAAAAAAATATGTTAAAAAATGTAATCAGTGAGAGGGCCACGGAAAGCCCAGTAGAAAAAGAGGACGTGAGAGTAGGCAGGACGTGGTAGAACTGTCAGCGCACAGGGCCAGTGGACGCGTGAAGAGATGGTCACGTCCTTGGTCACGGAGATGCAAATGAAGAGCACCGTGAGTTACCATTTCATGCCTTTTACCATAACAGTGCCGTGCAGAGCCCGTGGGTCCTCAGGCCCTTTCTGTGCGTAGTGCGTGGGAATGTAGGTGGGCGCTCGGGGGGCTCTACCTTCTGGAGTTAAGCATTCACATTCCCTGGGACTCCGCAGCCCCACCCGGGCTCAGACAGAAGCCTGCGCATGCGTAACCGTGGTGTGCAAATGAGGGTGCATGTGCGCATGAATATTCATAGCAGCTCTCTGCAGAGTAGCCACCACCTGGAAGCAGCCCAAATGCCTATCACGGAGCACGGGAAAGAATAAACGGGGATATTATACAAGAGTCAACACTAATGAATTACAACAATGCGTTACTTCGAATACGTCTCAGCACCATGAATTACATTCCCCCGTTATCTTTTTTCATAAAGATAAAAGTAACTAAAAATAAACTACCCTTTTAATGAAGTGCGTAATAAAACTGTCCGAAAAGGAAAGCAAGGGCATGAGAAGCACAGGCTGTGAGGTGACGGCCACCTTGGGCAAAGGGGAGCGTATGTTTCCATGTGGGTTTTTGTCAAGGTCTTACCTGCTGTCTTGCTGGGGGATTCTGGGATACTTATTATTAACAAGATGTAAATACCTAGGTGAAGGCGGGCCATGCTTGGCCCAATCATTAACAGGTGCCATGAACCTATGGCAGATGATTTATCCAAGAGTGTATATCTGAGGTGTCATGTAAAATGTCAGTGTATAAGAATTGTCGAGCCCTGGCCAGTTTGGCTCAGCGGTTAGAGCGTCGGCCTGCGGTCCTGAGAGACCCGGGTTCGGTTCCCGCTAAGGGCACGTACTTCGGTTGCAGTTTGTCCCCGGCCCTGGTCGGTTGTGCGGGTGGCAACCACTCGATGTGTCCCTTTCACATCTATGTTTCTCTCTCTCTGTTCCCCTCTCTCCCTCCCACTCTACCTGAACAAAAAAATGGGAAAATGTCCTCGGGTGAGGATAAAAAAAAAAAAAGAATTGTCGAGAGGAGTCAATGGCTGGAGGGTGCCTGGCATACAGTAAGTGCCAATAGATGTTAGCTCTTACTACTACCGTTACTACGGAGGAAATTACCTCTTGGCTCTGCAGAACATTTCCCTGCTTCAGGTGTTACTGTGTCTTTGCAAACAACCTTGTTTAGAGCCTGCAGGGAGTCCGGTGATGGGTCTCAGTCAGGCCGATTAGTACAGCTTAGCCTGTCCCCCTTCACAGGCTGCCTCCACTTACCTGTCAGGGCCCAGCTGACTGTTACTGCTCCAGAGACTCTGCCCTCGCCTCCCCCACTATCCTGTGGTGCTTATTACACTTTAGTGGCGCCTACAGAATGTCGTGACTGACTGGTGTTTAGCTACTTCTTGTGGCTGGCCTCTCAGCCCTGCGGGGGCAGGAATTACATTGATTTAGTCTAAGGATCAGCCGGGGACCTGACCACAGTAGGTGTTTAGCAAATATTTGTTGTGTGGATGAACAAAAAGACCCCTGTGTGCAAATAGTAGAAATCATTCAACCCTGGAGCCATTTTGAGCATAAACTATTAAGAGACTACTTAGCACACCATGGTAGTAATAGTCTCAATTATACCAAAAAATATTCATTGATTTCGTGAAGTAGGCACACATACATTGGGTTCATCAAGGACATGAATAGAAAAAAGCATTGTGATGATGGCTGCCTTTCATGGTCCCAAATGGGATTTTATACCATGTCTAGAAAGAAAAGGAGAATGGTAGTGAGTTCTTAGGAGTGGGCAAATGCCCATGTGTTAGACTTTTTTAAAAAAACATGTTTTTATTGATTTTTTTTTTTAGAAAGAGGAAGAGAGAGAGAGATAGAAACATCAATGTGAGAGAAACATCAATTGGCTGCCTCCTGCAGGCCCCCTACTGGGTGGGGATGGAGCCTGCAACCCGGGCATGTGCCCTGGCTGGGAATTGAACCAGGACCTCTCAGTCCATGGGACGGCGCTCAATCCGCTGAGCCACACCGGGCCAGGCCATTTAAAGATTGATATGAAAAGGGAAAGGCAAGTCTGTCTGTCTCCACAGTGTCCTCCTTTTCTATGAAAAACATAGCTTCATTCATGTTATTTCTGACTCAGACAGGACTTGGTCTACTTTCCTAATGTAATTCATTCTTAATTCAGCCGGTAGCCAGCTGAGAGGGGAGTGGTAGAAGGCAGAAGGGAGCAGCCTGGGATTGCAGACACTAGTAGGTAGGTTCTAATTCTGTGTCTGAGCCACTTAACGCAGTAGGGGCTTAATGCTTCTGCTCTAAGAAAATGGATTGGGCTAGTTAAGTTCAGTGATCATTAAGGTTCTTCCAAATCAAAAACTGAACTCTAAAGTGTACATATTTTACATGCAGTTTTACCTGTGCACCTATCAGTGTAGTCTTATCTTTCTTATCTCTTTCAGAGCTCACATGTTTTATGAACAGTGTTAACAGTTTCTATCCCACGGTAATTGGGTGAAGTTATGAAAGGTGCCACCAGCCAGGTATTTTCCACTGTGGTTCTTTATGTCGATTCCAGGTGGTACCTTGGGTGCTTTCTAGAACCTTTGACTCTTTTGCAAAAGGAGCCGAGTGAGTGATTACAGAGTAGCAGCGGCTGTTGCCTCGAGGTTGGAAGGGATCTGGGTTCTGGGTCATGCCGCACCACCAAATAAGTGCTTGATCATTCATTTTCTGGTTTCTCGTTTCCTTCACTCTCAGTGAAAGGATTTGGCTGGCGCTCCTTTAAGTGACCTTGTTGCTCCACCACTCCGTGATTTAATCAACTAAATATAGTGCCAGCTGACCTTCTCAGGTGTCCTCTGCTATCTGTCATCAAGCAGACTGCTGCTGTGGCCTGTGAGGTGCTTTGGGAGAAGTTCAATCAGGGAGCTGTTCAAGATTTCTACTTGCCAATACTGCAAATGTGGTATCTTAACTTTCATATTATTAACCCTAGCACACACTTCTTACTCATATATTTCATAAGTACAGAAACAGAGTCTAAGAGGTTGAGCTAACTTGCCCCAGTCCCTGGGTGGCAGAGGCATGATTTAAAGGCCAGGCTCTGACTCCGAGTGTCCCCCACTCTCCATCACTGTGCTTTCCTATGTAGTGAGGACCAGCGTGGTATAATGGAAGGGGTACGGGCTTTGGAAACCAACAGACTTGGTGTGCGTTGGGGCCCTGCTGCTGACCATGGGACCTCTGGTGGATGATTTCACATTTTCCAGCCTCGGTCTCTGTGTCTGAAACTCGAGGTTATTGACACTAACTGAAGGGCGATTCGAGGAGGATGAAATGGAAGCACGTGTAAGAGTGTCTAATACATTCTTGGGCACATAGCAGGCATTCAGTAGGGGAAGCTGTTCGTACTTTGGTTTCTGTGTGTCTTCACGTGTGGTTACATGAGCATTGCAGTCGTCGTTGGCACTCGTCCTGTGCGTGCTGCACTCTGAGGCGTTCAGTGGTTAAAAATGCGATTGCTATGATGTCTGATCGCCAGTCCGGGAGAGTTTATGC